TATAATGCATACATGACATAAACTAATAACTCGAAGTAAGGTGGTGGGCCCATTTCAAGATACCTAGCATAACACTGATATTTAGTCTTTGGACTATAAATATCAGCTTGTAAGTGGTACTTTTCGTGCCGTAATCAAATATTGACAATAAATCATGTCAAATAATAGCCTTCCTTTGGGCCGACTATTGCTCACATAGAGAGCTTTATAATTGTCAAATATTTATTACCACAGGTATACCCATTATTCGGCTAAATAATAACCTTCCTTTGGGCTGATCATTATTCGCATAAATAATAGGTATACTCATCTTTATATTTTAAAATAAATCAACATCCACAACAGATGTTACTTTGGCAACAATATTATTTCAATCAATTTATTTCAAAACACAAGACAATTAAGTGCAATAATAATCAAATAAAATAAAATAAAGAACCAGAATTTCATTTTATTCAATTGAATCCTTAATTAATTTACACTTAATTTCTTAATGGGTTAAAAAAAATGCCCAAAATCTCGAAATTAGGTTTAAAATAAAGTCAAAAATTGATAAAAAAAATAGCAATTATTTCCTTATGGCCGCAGGTAATAACCTACGGCCCTTAGTTTTGATGCGCAGGCCCTTGGGCCTGTGCTTCCTTTTTTTTTTTGTCACGGGCTTGAAGTGGCCCGTGTCCTTTTTTTCAGTTCTGGGCCGTAGCCCATAACTCTGGTCTAGGGTTGCAACAGTGTTGCGGCCCTTCTTTTCCACTGGCGGCCGCCATTCCTCAATCCGGCCAGTCCCCATGCCACAGCCGGCCGGCCGCGACAATAACTGTCCAACGTAGCCCAACGGTTGTGCCTGGGAATCCAGACGCATGCAGCGGCAAGCTTGCCGCCGGCAACAAATTTTTTTTTTCTTTTCCTTATGCGGCGGCCTTGGCTGCCGCTATTCCTCACCCCGCCGCGGCTTGCCCGTTGGCGCAGCCCAACGGCCGCGCCCTTGATTCCGCAGCGCCGGTGGCCAAAACTGCCGCCGACCATATTCCTTCTCCTTCGGAGAAGACAACGAAGAAAGAAGAAAAAAAAATTTCCAAAAAAAAAAAAACGTTCTTTCAATTAATTCTTTTACCAAATTTGCTTAATCCCTAATTCTCCAGACTATCAATTTTGCGAATAATAAATAATTCCGAAAATTATTCAACAAATATTGATCAAAATCAATCACCAAAAATTCATATGATTATCTATATACATGTTTTTCTTAACAAAATAAAGCATATATGAGATTCCATAAACAAAAGAAAAATCATATGAATCAATCAACATGATATTCAGCCAGAAATATTGGAGATAAAAAATTCTTTCAATAATTTAATGTGATGACCGCTCTAATACCACTTGTTGGATCTTTAAATCCTAGTTCCACATTCCAGGAATCATCACACCAAATTACTAAGAAAATAAGTTAGAACAAATACCTGTCTCCATTAGTGCAGCCTTAATCTCCAGTAGAATTCGCTAAGACAACGAGCACGATGGTTATTGCCTTCCTCAGTCAAATCTTCTTAGTTCCTTAATGGGGTGTTTTCTCTCTAGATGTGAAAGAATGAAAACTGCCGTATGATTTGACGTATTGGGGACCATAACTTAAGTTTCTTTATATACTGCCCCATTAGACTCCCATTAAACCTAGTTGGGTCAATATGGGTATCCACCCATTCAGCCCATACCCTGTTAGGAGACTATTTGGGCTTTTCATAATTAGATCGCTCAATTAACCTAATTAATTAAATAGCTTAATATAATTGTTATAATATGTGGCCCATAATAATTATTAGGAAATATAATTTCCTAACATTGTCAACATCCAAATTTCACGCAAAATAAATAAATAAATAAATAAAAAGAAGTTACATTAGGAGTGAGTTTTCTATTTAACTGCACAAATTTAACAGTATATTAATTTAACACTACGTTGAAGGTGCTGTAGTACTTAAGGTGATTTAATCAAGAAATTGGGCTGCTTTGTAAAGTTACGATATAAAATATTGTTTGCTTTTTGTTAATTTACTACAATGTGTAACTTTTTTTTTTTTTTTTTTGGTTTTGCTGAATCTATAATTTGTAAATACTCCCAATCGTCATAAAATAATTACCTTTGTCTGCTAGTGTGATTCCTTATCTCTATCGAATACACGAGAAAGGGCTTTTACATTAAATATAATTAACAAGTACTACTAACTTATGAATTTGTGGATGGAGTAACATCTAATTTTTCTATAAGAGAAAAGGCCTTATAAATGCTTTGAGTGCCCATCAATTTAATAGTCAAATACGCATTCCCTAGTTCAGCTAGATGATAATTATATTGTGCCGAAGTACCAGCCATGCAAGTTTAAACTCATTTAGAAAAACATGATCATCCCAATCCATTCAAATAAAAATTGGGAAAGATTAGTTTTCATGTCATTTTTCTTCAAGATTTGATATTTAGTGAAATTTTCCCCACCTAAGAGAGTACAAATTAATATTCTCTATAATCTTTCTTTTAATAGAAAATACTTTAGCACGCGCAATTGATCACTAAGTACAACATAAATAAATTGAATTGGATAATATTTAAATGTTTATCACATTACCATGTAGCTTAATAATTTGGTAAAACGAATAAAGAAAATGAAAACTTAAAACAAAAAACAGGAAGGGTTGACATAAATAGTAATAAAGTGAAGCTAGCTATGGCTTTCTCATAACTCAAAAATAGTATTTCAAGTATAACACTGTTATGATTATTTTTTCTTTCTATCATTATCATGCATATATCAAATTATTCCAATAATTATAACAATTACCAATCATTATTCATATATATAATCCATATAATTTTGACTTGCGGTAGTAATATATAGCAGCAACAGAATCAGCAAAAGTGACTTGTAGAAATTACTAATATGATAAAAACTAGTACTATAAAAAAAAATAGTTTGTGTGATATATACATTATATATAGATAGATACATACTAACAGCAAGATCAATTCATTGGCACGTGTATTTTTTATGTGAAAAACTTGGATTTTGAACATTAATTGATCAAATTAAATTTACGAATAAAGTATCGCTATAGCTAAATTGTGAATTTATTCCAGATCGCTAAGTTAATATTAGGCTGCTGGCCTAAATGTCTATATGTGATTTGGGCACCCGTTTCCCTTAAGCTAGCTTTTGAGAATAAATGTTACGTACCAACAAAAGGAACGATTCTTCAATTTCAGAGAAAACTTAAATTGTTTAAAATTTTAATACACGCATAAAACTAAGCTGGCTGATCAGAGTGTAAGCAATAGTATATAGAGACATTTATTATTTTATACCATGCATTTTAAGTTTATTAAATACGTATACTCGTTATAATTTACATAAGTTGATCAAGATGTACTGCAAATTCAATTTCATTTCAAAATTATAGTTTTTCGTGGGTCAATAGTCAATTTTGATCTCTATATTAGCGAGCCTGTTCTTTTCAACATCTAGATGAACAATATATAACTTAGTCCTAATACATGAATTTATTCTTGCAGCTTACCTTGGAAATATATTTTTTAACTTTTTTTTTTCTTTTGCTTCTTAAAGCATAAAGCTTAACTAGTGTTAATTTGGCTACATATTTACCACAAACTAATCGGTTGTTGACCTAAAAGAAGTATAAATTTGACATGAATTTAAAATTCAAAAGTATAATTTTGATCCATCGAGAACACAGATTGTGGTTTTAATAAACTCCAAATGCTAAAATTGTAGAGTGCTCTAGTAATGTAGAGCTTAACTAATCAAAAGGGCAACAAATAATTGCATGTACTTGTAAGACAATCATTACAAATTAGTTTTCCATAATATCTTGTATAGATATGCCATTCAATAATCATTTTATACTCTAACTTTACGACCTTATATTATAATCACGATCGAACTAAGCTGAGCATAATAAATACTACGAACACTGATTTACAACTGAAGAAAAACTAAAATCAATATTAGATCTTCTGTTTTTCCCATCTCATGAAAGAGTACTAGTAGCTCTTTTATCTTATTATTTATTGCTTGTATTAATGCATTACTATACGTATTGCAAAGCAGCAAAAGTGATATAGAGATATATAGACACGCATACATATATACACTAATGAGGTTCTAGAATATGTTATTACATTTCTCGAGACTATATTACCAGCACTTTATACGTCACTTGTCCCAAGAAGATGGTCCATCGAAGCCTATTTTAGAGCTCATTTCCATGGGGCTTCTTTTGTCCCAAGAAGATGGTCCGTCGAAGCCTATTTTAGAGCTCAGTTCCATGGTGCTTCTTTTTTGAGCTTGAAAAGCTCATTAGTCATGGCTACGCTTGAAATGTTGCTCCTGGTCATTAATGATGTAAGATGGACCGAATCATGCTACGGGCTAAACCTTGCGCGGAAATTGGGTGAGTTTGTTAAATACCACCTCTAAAGCGTTAGTCTCCAAACAGACCACTTTTGTATTAAAAAAAAAAACTTCTCACAACTTTTTCTTTTAAAAAATGAAAATTCATTTTTAACGGGAATTATAAATATCAATAGAAATGCAAATGACTCTGTTAACCTACAAGATACAGCACTAGCGGAATTGAATGACGCTCAAGAAGGAAGACGCACTACTCAGTAACGAAAAAGTTCCTTAGCACATCTATAATCGAACTCGCATAAAGCTCTTTTTAAAATACCTTTAGAATCGATGGAAGCGTCCGACCAATCGAGAGCCATAACTGTGTAGCACGAAGGCTACCACACACCTCGCATAGACAAAAGTCCAAAGGGACCAATAGTTTGCCAAAACACAAATCTGACAAGATTAAAAATAAATAAATAAAAATAAAAACTCATAGCGTCCTCGTCTTCTCTTCAAGTTTGGAATTTTGCTTTTCAAGTTTGGCGAAAAGCAATCCTCTGTTATGTAGCGTATTATAGGTTTTAATTTCTCAATTTTTTTCTTCTTTTTTCTTTTTCCCCTTTTAAGTTTGTCCTGCCCAATTAACAAGCTATTTTTACAAGTCCTAGCATGTCAACGTCTCTGTTTGATGAGAGTTCCAAAAATATGGGAACAGAACATAACAATGATATATACATGCAGTTATATTTTCTGCATATATTCACCACAATGTCATAAGTTCTCAATAAATAACAACTAAAAAAAAACTTGCAAAAAGAAAGCTGACAATAATTTGAAAGGTTTCTGCGTTCGTAAGTAACAACACATGCCTCACAAAACAGAAAATGGATAAAGAAACAAAACCAAAAATTTTGAAAGCTTACAGGCATAAGAAACCGTTGCATCCTAAGATCGAAGATGAATTAAGAAAAGCTATTATCTGCAGATTTAGAGTGCTTCTTTCCAATAACGGATTGACTTGTCGGTTCCACAGGAAACAAATGCTGCCTCTACTGGTGAGTGCTCAAGCCAACGAGGAGCGCCGATATGGTTGGAAGGCCACCTTGCAACCTTCTCTGCTGTCAAAGCATCCCATATAACAATCTGCATAGTACAAATGACATCAGTTGCAAATTCAAACATTGGAAATGTCATTTTTGTATCCAAAGAACAAGAAGCTTAACGAACCTCGTTGTTAGGCTCATCTATGCATAGTACAAATTCTTCAGTATGATTGAAAACAGCCTGCAAATAAAAGTTTGAACCTAGTAAACCTACAGCATCATTCCAAAAAACGAAAGAAAAAAAGAGAGCTGCCAAATTTGGAAGCTTCTTTTTGGGATCACTGTGAGTGATATGGACTTCCGCCATCTATACTGTCAGACAAACAATGAAAATTGCATAATTATTAAAAAAAAAGAAAAGAAAAGAAAATTGCAATGGTAGTGTACAAGCCAATTTTTTTACTCTTAAACACAAAGTAGCTGTGGGTTTGATTTATACAACATTGGCTTACAGAACTATCAATCAAGATCGCAAAATTGTCTACGTAGTTAAATTCCTACAGGTAAGTAATTTTGATTTGCCTGTCTCATGATCACTGAATGCTTGATATAAGAACCAGCGTCTAAATGGAAAAGTACATGAAAATACAGATTGTTTGGGCTCGTTTGGTAACACTTTCAAAATGATTTTGTTTTACAAAAGTAAAAATGAGATTGTTTTGAAAATCATTCTGAGACCGATTCTAAAATTGCGTTTGGTTAGTTTTTTAAGAAATTGTTTTGAGTATAATAAAAAAGTAAAATCGTATTTGGTTATAATTATTAATTAATATATTATAACACTGTTGATAAGTACTAAGAAATGAAAACAGAAACGGGAAAACAACTTTCAACCGTTTTCTAATTCCTTCACAAAAACCATTCTCACTGTTTTTTGTTTTCGTTTTAAAAACATTTGTTAAACAAACATGGTTTACAGACCGTTTTTATTTTTGTGCCTCAAAAGCCGTACAGAAACGTTTTAAAAAACATGTAAAAATCAATTCCAAACGCACCCTTTGTACTTTGAAAGCAGATTATTGTGAATAATGTGGTGAGATTGTTTATCGCTGTTACTCCTAAATCCTATGCCAAACTTTCCCCTGGAAAATTTAATTGCACAGGGCTTTCTGAGATGATTCTTGCTAAACAAATTTGCTCATATTTTCATGAAAAAAAAAAACAAAAAAAAAAAAGGGGGTCCTTAACACAAAAACAGCCAAAAGAAGGATGTCCTAGGATACCTGACAGCGCAACTGTGTATGCGTAGCTCCCAGGTATTGCTTGACCAATCTTCCAGTTCCAACTTCCCATAGCTTCACGGAGGAATCCTTTCCACACGAGAGAATGAACCTATAAAGTTAATCTGAGTCATGTCCCAAAGCCAGAACATGAAGCTTGTATCGACTTAAGAGATTAGAGCAAAGATTCCTAGTCTACATATTTATTATTATTCTTGGGTACACATTTCAAAACCTAAATCATTTTGTGATCTCAACCTTTGATCTTTTGTAAATATTGCACTAGTGGCCTCTGATGTTCCATGTGCACCAACTATAGACCGTATGCAACTGGCATTTACACCATCCCATAAACGAATCGCACCATCTTTAGAAGCAGTGACATACATACCACCTGTAGTTGAATACCTGACCTGATAACCAACACAAGGAAATGGTATCCCTGACGTTATTGAAATTTATCTAATACTTGCAATAAAACATTTGAAGGATGACAAGAATAGGAATTGAATATGCCTGATTTATTGCTCCATTAACACCGATCTCCGGAATACTCGCTGATAGGTAACACTGAAAAGTATTGACATCGTACAAATGAGGAATTGGATGATCAGTTCCTGTGATTTCAACAATGTTTTTCAATGTCATCAGTAACAAATTTCAGAGGCCAAAGAGGATGATCTGTTTTGAGTTATAGCAACATATTCATGTAATTTGCACCCAAACTGCAATCAACGACCAATATTGATATTTTGAACATAAGCTGCAAAAGGAATAGTTACATGAGAAATGACGACTTCATCCAAATAAAGAAACTATCACATAGAATTACCAGCTAAAAGGAAATCCCCAGAAGGGTGGAAAGAAACCGAGCGCACATTGTGGGTATCCTGAGAATGAAATGAAATTTTATTTAGAAGAATTTACATTTTGAACTTTAGTTACAATTCTGCAGCTAAATCCAAATTACACATCCTTCAAAACCAGAATGACAAGATATACAAACCTGGATAACTCTGAATGCTCTCTTTGCGGTCATCTTCGAAAAGTCAAAGAACCTGAAAATCACGACAAGCATTTCATGACAATCCCAAATCTATTCTTCTTCCTTTTACTACCAGAGAAGGCCATAAAGGATTTATCAACAATGTAAGGAGAACGATGTTTTAACCTCTCTGGAGCTCTCAATCAAAAAAGGGTAAGGGTTATACATAATTTCTAAGTAAAGGATAAAAACGAGAAGGTAAACTAAATGACATACTTAATTGTATGATCTTTGGCTCCCGATATTAGAATAGTGTTTTGTGGATGGAAATCCAGGTCATTTATTGGCTGCAATACAATTATGCAAGAGAGGAAAGAAAAAACAAGAATGTTATATGGGACACATCCTCTGAGGCCTTTTCTTTCTTTTTGGTATGAAAGAAATGAAAAAGAGTGAAATGCAGATTCACCAGAGCATGGTCATAAAATGTCCATATCACAGTTCGCACAGGACCATCCCTTGCATCTGGCAGCATCATTTGCTTTATCTTTGCAACCTAAAACAGAAAATTGACTGGAAATGAGTTATAATCCACAGTAAAGAATGAACAAGTTGTGACAATCTAATAAATCAGCACCTCAAATAGCTTTATAGACGTATCAGAACTTCCAGTAGCAATGTACTTCCCATCAAGACTAAACCTTGCACATCTGGCAACATTCTAGAAATTTTGACATGTCAATCACGGAAAAATGACGAGTACGAAGTCATTAGTATCATTTCTCTAAATAATTGATAAGAAAAGGTATCTAATGCGTGAAATTGAATCAAGAAAACAGAAAGAATGAATCTTTATTGATTATCAACAAGAACTACACCCAAACGGTTTCTTAGAAACCAACAGAATACCCTCCTGCTCAGCTATTGCCAAGACTTCCCGATACAGACTCCAATCTCTGCCTACCTTCCTATTCCAGCGTGTCCACCTATTCATTTCTGCTCCCTCAACTCTAATCAATAATCCCCTGTGCTAACACACACAATAACCCCGTAAGCCTATACTAACACACACAATAACCACGTAAGCCTATACACATCCGACCCTATACACTAACAATCCCCTAAGCCCTTCCCCGACCCTTCCTCACATAAACTTGTCTAAGTAGAGGCTTATCAACTTCTCCGCCCCCCAAAAGAGTCACCTTGTCCTCAAGGTGAAATTCAGGAAACTGTTGCTGAATGACATCGAAAAGCTCCCAAGACGACTCATAATCCGGTAAGTGACGCCACTGAAGCAAGACTTCCAGCTGCCCAGTAACCTTAGAAAAACGAGTATCCAACAACCTCTCCGGCTCCACGCGTAACTCCATGTCAGCAGCCAGAGCGGGCGGAACCTCCTGAGCCGGAATAGGCAGGCCAATGGCTTTCTTAAGCTACGACACATGGAAGACCGGATGAATCTTGGCCCCTGTAGGCAATTGCAACCGGTACGCCACTGCCCCCACGCGCGACACGACCCTATAGGGACCATAAAACCGAGGAGAAAGCTTTTCATTCGGAAACTTGGCCAAGGAACGATGGCGATAGTTTCAGGAACACCAAATCCCCCACGTCGAACGAGACATCACAATGCTTAAGATCTGCGTTCCTCTTCATTGAATGCTGCGCCTGAAGCAAGTGGCCCCGCAACTCCTCTAATATAGCATCCCTCGCTTGCCATTGCTCCTCCAATAAAGAGTTAGCGGTTGAACCCAACTCAAAACGCAGCAATTTAGGAGGGTCACGACCATATAATGCCCTGAAAGGAGTCATTCCCGCGGACACATGGAAGCTTGTGTAATACCAATATTCGGCCCACGCTAGATGAGAAAACCATTGAGTAGGTTTCCCGGAAACAAAACAGCGTAAATAAGCCTCTAAGCACCGATTCACCACTTCCGTTTGTCCATCCGTTTGAGAATGGTAAGCCGTACTATGATGTAATAAAGTGCCCTGCAACTTAAAGAGCTCCTTCCAAAAATGGCTGAGGAAAACTGTCGCGGTCGGACACAATAGTCCTTGGGAACCCGTGGAATCGCACCACCTCTTTAATAAACAGGGCAGCCACCGACTTTGCAGAAAAAGGATGGCGAAGACCCAAAAAGTGTGCATACTTACTCAACCGATCTACGACCACTAAAATTGAGTCGTTTCCCGCTGACTTGGGTAATCCTTCCACAAAATTCATCAAAATCTCATCCCATACCTGGTTCGGCAGTGGCAATGGCTGCAACAACCCCCCAGGAGACAAAGTCGACGCCTTGTTTTGTTGACATACTTGACAGGCTGCCACAAAAGAGACTACATCCCGCTTCATGCCATACCAAAAGAACTCGGAAGACAAACGTTTAAACGTCTTTAGGACTCCCGAATGTCCTCCCACCTTACTGCCATGGAACTCGTTCAAAAGGATAGGTATGAGAGGAGATAGCCGAGACGAAACCACCCGACCCTTGCAAAGCAACATGTCATTGCATAAAGAGAACCCTTTCACCCCTTGCGGATTGTGCAGCAACTCCTTCCGAATTCCAGCCAATTTCGGATCACCCAAAAGTTGCTGCCGAATTTCAGCTCCATCATACAGCGCGGATGTGGCAAAGTGCATCAACTCCAATCCAGAAGTCCACCTGGATAACGCATCAGCCACGCGGTTCTCAAACCCTGGCTTGTATTGAATCTCAAAGTCGTAACCCAACAGTTTGCATAACCACTTCTGTTGCTCCTCTCCCACTAACCGCTGCTCCAACAAAAACTTTAAACTTTTTTGATCCGTGCGGACAATGAAATGCCGCCCCGGGAGATAATGACGCCATTTCTGGATCGCCAACACCACAGCCATCAATTTGCGCTCATAAACGAACTTAGCCATAGCCCGAGGAGACAAAACCTGACTAAAGTAAGCGATAGGCCGCTGTTGTTGCATTAAAACCGCACCAATCCCAAAACCCGAAGCATCGGATTCTACCACAAATGGTTGAAAAAAATCTGGCAATGCTAGAACCGGAACTGTAGTCATGGCCTGTTTCAATCTCCGGAAGACCGACTCAGCCTCTTCAGTCCAATTAAAACTGTCTTTCTTCAGTTGTTGTGTCAATGGCCAAGAAAGATGACCATACCCCGTTACAAAACGCCAATAATAACTTGTTAAGCCCAAAAATCCACGCAACTCCTTAATAGAACGGGGAGTAGGCGAATCCAACATAACCTGTATCTTGTTGGAATCGACCGAAACCCCATCACACGAAACAATGTGACCCAAATACTCCAATTGACTTTGGGCAAAAGTACATTTCTTGTGGTTGACATATAATTGGTTATCTTCCAAGGCGGTCAAAACCATTTCCAAATGACCCACATGTTCCTCCAATGATTTACTGTATATCAAGATATCATCAAAAAAAACTAAAACAAACTTTCGCAAAAAAGGTTCTAGTACCTCATTCATCAAAGATTGGAACGTGGCCGGAGCATTAGTTAGCCCAAAAGGCATAACCAAAAATTCGTAATGGCCCTCATGAGTGCGGAAAGTTGTCTTAGGAATATCCTCCACGCACATCCGAATTTGGTGATATCCCAATTTCAAATCCAATTTGGTAAATATACTAGCCCCAAACAATTCATCCAATAACTCTTCGATCACCGGTATGGGAAACTTATCCAGAACTGTAGCTTTGTTGAGCACGCGGTAATCAACGCAAAAACGCCAAGTACCATCTTTTTTTTTTTAATGAGAAGCACCGGGCTAGAAAACGGGCTGTTGCTTAGTTGTATGATCCTCGCTTCGAGCATCTCTTGAACCAACTTTTCAATCTCATTTTTCTGAAAATGAGGATACTTGTAGGGTCTAACACTAATAGGAGCGGTGCCCGGTTGGAGAATAACGCGGTGATCACGCAATCGTTGTGGAGGGAGGCCAACCGGCATATTCAAAACTTGTGGATGAAGCTGCAATAGTGCACTGATTTGGGTAGGAAGTGGCTGGTCTGGTTTCCTTTCCCCATCCAGCACCTGCAACTCCAAATAGATGCCTTGTCCCTCATGCTTAATGGTCCGAAACATCGCTTTAGGGGAAACCATAGAAGTAGAGAGACTCATGTCACCACTTCCCCCCTAATCCGAAACTTCATCAATTGGGATTTCCAATTCACATGCATACCCCCCAATGTTTCCAACCACTGCATGCCTAAGATAACATCCCCCCCCCCAACTCCAATGGCAAAAAGTTTTCTATAATAGTTAGTTGCGGTAAACTCAATGACACTTCACGACAAAGTCCCTGCCCTTTAACCGACTCGCCCGTGCCCACTTGCACTCCAAACCCGGCAGTGGGAAAAATTAGAATGGACAATTTCTCTACTAAACTTAAGGAAATAAAGTTGTGTGTTGCTCCAGAATCGATTAAGACAATTACCTCTTGTTGAGCAATCAATCCGCGAATCTTCATAGTTTTGGGTGTTGAAAGCCCCACCACGGAGTTCAATGATAGCTCAATAAGCTCGGGCTGTCCCTCATCCCAAACAGTATTTGCCACGTCAATATCTTCCACCAAACATTCCGTGGAGTCCTCATCACTAACCAACATAATTCGGAGCTCCTAATGTTCCCAACCCCTGCCAGCCTAAGATAACCTCCCCCCCCCCAACTCCAATGGCAAAAAGTTTTCTATAATAGTTAGTTGCGGTAAACTCAATGACACTTCACGACAAAGTCCCTGCCCTTTAACCGACTCGCCCGTGCCCACTTGCACTCCAAACCCGGCAGTGGGAAAAATTAGAATGGACAATTTCTCTACTAAACTTAAGGAAATAAAGTTGTGTGTTGCTCCAGAATCGATTAAGACAATTACCTCTTGTTGAGCAATCAATCCGCGAATCTTCATAGTTTTGGGTGTTGAAAGCCCCACCACGGAGTTCAATGATAGCTCAATAAGCTCGGGCTGCCCCTCCTCCCAAACAGTCTTTGCCACGTCATTATCTTCCTCCAAACATTCCGTGGAGTCCTCATCGCTAACCAACATAATTCGGAGCTCCTTACAATGGTGACCAAAAAAAAATTTCTCATCACACCTATAACAAAGTCCCTTGTCTCTCTTCTCCTGCAACTCAGAATCCGACAACTTGCGAAAAGGAAATTCCCGCTTTTGGCTTACTGCCCTATCCACATTGGCTGGAGCTCGCTGAGGTCGTTCAACTCCAAGAATTGGTCTAGCAGGGAAGGTAGAAAACTCAGCTCGCGGACCTCCCAAAAATTGTGGCCTCGACACTCTTGATCCGGCAACCTCCCAATGTAGCAACTCATTTTTCTCCTCGATTCTCTGGGCGATCTCCATAATTTCGCTTAACCCCTCCGAATTCAAGAGTCACAACTCCGCCCGAACCTCCGCCTTTAATCCATTAACAAAAATGCCCTCCAAAATTTCCTCAGGAACATCTAAGAGTGGGGCTGCAGAAACTTCGAATTGCCTGCAATAATCTGCCACAGTCCCCTCTTGTCGAATCGCCAAGAACTTCTCACAGAGGTTTCCAGCCTGCCATGAGCGGAAACGCTGCAAAAGAGACAACTTAAACTCCGTCCAACCGTGGAACGGACGGCGGCCATTTTGCCACTGGAACCATGACAGGGCGTCTCCTTCAAGAGCTATTCCGGCAGTAATCAGCTTTTCCCTTTCCAAGCAACGATTGATGGAAAAAAATTGTTCCATTCGGAACACCCATCCGTAGGGATCTTCGCCGCTGAACAAGGGACACTCCACTTGCCGTCGACAGTACGAGGCCCACTCCTCATTCTCCGGCAACTCGCCCAGTACCCCTCTGTTATCCAAAACTTCCCTGTGCCATCCTCCTCTGAATCCATCCCCACCCATGCCACACCTCCGTTCCCAAAAACCAGGATTCTGAGGTTCGCCAAACACCCCGGCGTCCCATCGCACCTTCCCCTGGAAGAGCATTCAATCCCTCTCTTCGGCCATCTCGCTCCCCTTCTCCACCGTCGCGACCGGGATTCCGCAAATTTCCGGGTTCCACTGGCCGATCTCCTCCCCGTAGACGCAACCCAACGGTTTCCGTCGGTAATGGCACGTTCTGCAAACCCCTAGGATCTACCACCCGTTCTTCGATTCGCGCGCGCGATCCCGCAACGTCAGCCATTCACGATCCCACATCTACTGTCGGAGCCACACCTTGCTCCTGCTCCGCCATCGACGTCGAAGCACCTTCTTTCTCGGACGTTTTCACTGGCGCCGTGAACAATTTCATCTGCTCCTCAATTAGCCGACGAAGATCTGTGAGATTCTGAGTAAGCTCGGTCCTAACCTTACCGATGCCCTTCTCCATCTCTACAATTCCCTTCTCCTTCAAACCCTAACCTCTTTGATCTCTTTTTCCACAGTTTCGAACCTCTCCTCTGCTTTTCTTGCTGCCATAATTCTCCCAAGATGATGCTCTGATACCAAATTGATAAGAAAAGGTATCTGATGCGTGAAATTGAATCAAGAAAACAGAAAGAATGAATCTTTATTGATTATCAACAAGAACTACACCCAAACAGTTTCTTAGAAACCAACAGAATACCCTCCTGCTCAGCTATTGCCAAGACTTCCCGATACAGACTCCAATCTCCGCCTACCTTCCTATTCCAGCGTGTCCACCTATTTATTTCTGCACCCCCCCACCCAACTCTAATCAATAATCCCCTGTGCTAACACACACAATAACCCCGTAAGCCTATACTAACACACACAATAACCACGTAAGCCTATACACATCCGACCCTATACACTAACAATCCCCTAATCACTTCCCCGACCCTTCCTCACATAAACTTTTCTAAGTAGAGGCTTATCAATAAACTACTATAAACGAGTTACATTTTTTTTTCTAGACTATAAGAAACAAGTTACATTTAACTGAAAATTTCTTATACTCATGTTTACCTTGTGCTCTGAAAGATGCCTTGGCTCATGCTTTGGGATACTCTTTGATGCGCCTTTAGTATCCTCCACAGAACTGTTTGACAGAAATCAAGCATAGTCAACCTTCTATTTTGCTTACTTTTTCTTTGGTAGGATTTTTTTCAAATAACATTACACATATCAGACATTAGGGGTCTGTGAACTTGCGAGTCTATTTATGCCCTGGCCAATCGAAAGCTAAATAGCATAAACTGGTAGTTCTGGATTTTTTAATTGTGGCTGATTTCAAACCGGCTATCATTGGACATCACTCCACGACTAGGAAGTGAACTAGCATATGTGTTCATTGGCATTTGGTATTTAACTTCTGGTTGGAACCTAAGTTTTAGTGTAAATAACCTTAACCTTCCTTTTGACGCATGAGATGTAGACTGGTTTGCCCTACTAGCTCAAGTAGGCGAAGAGCGAGAAAAATAATCTAAAGGAAGATATTGCAAAAATGTTCACAAGCTTATAAGTTACAAATATATGTTAAGAAACATTAATGCATACATTTTTCGAGACATCGTTCATAGCAGTTTTTCCAAAAAAAAAACACCTTTTAACACTGCAGTAAGGGAGAGAGAGAGATATAGAGAGAGAGAGAGAACTTGATAATTGATACAATCCCTGTTCCTCCTTCATTTGGGCTGCTCGACTATAAAGGCACCGAAAACAAAATACAAACATTCATGATACCACAAAACAATTGTATACACCACATGTTGGGTGCTACCATGCACATGGGATGACAGACTAGTAAAATGTTGCATGAGCTTATTCTGAAAGGTAATAACTACCTGAAATCAATAGCAGCAGCGGTAAGAGGAGCAGAAACAGAACCGTACACCGCAGGTATTGACGTACCCAAATCATATAATCCAGTTGAAGAAACCCCTCTCAACATCTCATCCTTTTTTACTGCAAGACCCTGTTCTAACCTTAGAACCAAATACTTCCATTATTTCCCCTAATCCAACTACAAATTTAACAATCAAACCACAAACAAACCTTGGCAACCAGCTCAAGAAGGTTATTAGCCGGGACTTCAACATTCAAGGGTGTCATTGTCGCAGAAGCGACCGCACTCGCAGCCTATAATTCGGTCGATACCCGAATTTCAAAATCAGCGAAAACACTCAAATTGAAGTGAAAACTTGCTTGTACATTGTTCAATTGCTAAGAACAGCTTGTCTTATTAATGAAGATCTTGGTTTCCATTCCATTCCTCAAACCAACATAATGCAAACTAAATTTAACATTAAAAAAAATCCTAATTATAATATATATTCCCCAAATTTCCCAGCCACCACATTATATTTTCTTTTTTTTTTTTAAGTGTCCACTCATAATCACGTTACTCAACTCACATTTCTGATGTTTTCACACAATTTTCAGCAAATGAACGGAAACTAGTCAACCAAAAAAAAAACAAGAAGTTACTTGATTGAGATTGTTGTCGCGAAGATGAGCGACGATGAGAGAATTGAGGTGTCTGAAGAGCTTCCCATCCTGCAGAGTCTGCTCCAAGTTGCTGCTTTCCATCTCAATTCTCTCTCTCCAAAAACTCTAAACCTCCCTAAATCAATCTTGTGGATTCCGAAGTCCAACACTCTCTGCCCTCTGGCATCGATTTTTTCTTCTCTTACAGTAAAAGAATGATAATGTGAATAGAAATAAAAATGTTAATGAAAATAAAATAGAAAAAAAAATTAATTAATTTATTTAATTATAATTTTAAAAAATTTTTAAAATAGAACATAAATATTTTCATATAAATAAATTTTCGCTTATGCTAATACTATAACAACAATATTTTATTTATTAATATAATATATAA